CCCCCCCCCTAAAACAAACGTAAACACGACACCATGACCTTTGAACTTTAGCCCGTGATTCAATCCCCTCAATATAGCCTACTCTCTATCAGCGACAGAAGAACACTCTATTCTTACCGTCTTTGAACGTCAAGAAACATAATCAAATTCAAATAGCCTGACACTTGACCACATAGATTTGTGGTATAATAATCCTAGATCGTTCACTCTGAAGTAATTATACCAGTTTACACTGGAGCACGGAGCACACGACATGACAATTTGGAATAAAATGAAGGGAAAAGATGGAAAGATTGAGAGCCCTCTTGACTATGGGCAAATATCGTACTTAACAAGATAGTTCACTCCTCTCTTTGAGCCAATTAAAAAAGTGTCCTCAAAATTTGGTGGAGCCCTCTTCGAAAAAACACTGACTGTGCAATTAGAGCTATCCTACATGTGTGGAAAAAGATCGAAGTGAGACTGACAATTTTTTGTATAGATTATAATTAAAATTTCGGAACAACGCCTTTTAAAATGGTTATACTGACAAAAATCCTCTTCAGGTGGAAGGGGCAACTGTTTTCTTCGTTTAATTTGGCTTAAGAACGAGAGGCGAGAGGTCATCAAAAGAAAATAAACCCAAACTCCGCACTGAGCGAACCGGAACAGCTGATGCGCAAGGGGGTGCTATTCCTATTCTTCTCCTGGAGAAACGAAAGAGATCTTCAAAACAAAGACTGCAGCGACATCTGAACCAATGCGCGGACTTCCGTGGATACCTTTTTGACAGAGTGAACTGTCTTGTTATGTACAATCTTTGGCGGTGGCCATTACAGTGCTTGATCTAGGGTATCATAATTCTCCAGTCTATGATAGACCCTTTGAACCGCCTTTATCTATTTTCTCGTATTCTTGTTCGGATCATCATCATCATCATCATCATCATCATCATCATCATCATCATCATCATCATCATCATCATCATCATCATTATCCTCTATTTTCAAAACAATGTCTCGTTTCGTGGCAGGTTGCTTTTTAAAAATTTTTACTAGATGTATCCGCTTACTTTTATATTAACACATTTTCTATACTTAACTTTAAAAAAAAAAACTATTTTACTTTTTCCTTCCTCTGGTATCCTTAGGATGTCGATGGGAAGTGCTAGTTTAGGTCCTGTGCTAGGTGTGTAGCGTATGTGATAGATATGTTGTTTTTGTTTCAGGACATTTTTAACCCCATCCAGCAAGGTCTTTCTTGGGCATTTTCTATGCAACTTATAAATATCCGGCATCTAATCGGGACAAAGGTCAAACAAACGGAACCAAAATTCTTGTTCGTGAGGATGTCTTTATCATTGTGCGTCCGTCTTTCTATTAGGATCCTGCATCGTTAAACCAGCTCCATACTGTTTACGCCATAATTACACATTTTAGATTATTTAGGAGGCCGGCGGCTGCTTATTCGGGCTTCGACAGTCCCTGTTAGGGCCAACCTGGGCGGAGTGGAATGCAGTACCCCAGCAGAAAGACAGAGACATTTAATAAAATTACGTCTTCATGTGGGAATCGAACTCACGTCGATGAACTCTCTCGCGCGCTCATATGACCTTATGCAGTTGTGAGCGCCGTAAAACACTTACCTAAAGAAAAGAAAAGAAGTTGATAAAAAAATTATTAAAAGCGTCTTTCGTTTCGCTCATGACTTCACGGCAATCATCATGTAGTCTCAAAGAGAGTGCACGGATACCCAGATTTGCATGCTAGATCAAGTGAGTTCCAAGCAGAGGGCTTAAGTTTACTTTTACCGAAACAAACTGACTGTAAGAATCTATGTAGGATTGACAGTAAGAATCTACGTAGGATTTTTTTGTTTGTTTCAACCTACCTGAGGGTGACCTGAATGCCACCGTGCTGGTGTAAAAGTTCACAGATCATAACAAGATCCCGTTTGCTTCAGAAAGCCAAAAGAAAATCGACAAGAATAAACGTAGTTGCTGAATCCTAAAAAAAAAGCGCTGGACATGATAAAAAGGATTTAAGAATAAATAAATAAGTAAAATTCATAAAATAACTAAATAATTAAATAAATGAATAAATAAATAAATAAATACATAAATGAATAAAACATGAAAAAAACAACAACAACCCAATAAAACAAAAGTAAAAACAACATCCCCGACCACCTCCCCCACCCCCGAAAAAACAGAAACCCCAAGAAAACAATTATAATGCAATACAACAATGACTCCAACTTGGGAAAAAATAATTATATGCAAAGATACGTGTTCTATGCAAATCTGCGGACGAAGCTGGAAAAAAAAATACACACCACGCAACAGCGAGCGACTGAGGCACACAGAAGTTGAGAGTGCACGACAACTAATAAATCAATCTATCTCGTGCCATCTTACTATATAGCCTTTATTATCTATGTTTCATAATACTAGTACGAGTGGCAGTCTCATTATCTGGAGGTATTATACAAAATCAATGCCACTGCACGCCAGTCACGCGATATTGCAACGTCACGGAACGACGCCATTTTGCGACGGCGGGCGAGGCATTTCGCTTCCGGTTGAATTAGTCTTTGCGGGAGCATTTTGCGCATTCCAATCCATTATTTCGTGTCAATAATATCATGGTCTGTCTCTTTTTTTGGTGTCACCCCC